CATCAAATTACCTGGGTTTGAGTCCTGGCTCTATTTCTGATTCCAGCCTCCTGCTAATGTACACTCTGAGAAGCAGCAGGTGATGGCTTGAGTTCTTGGACGCCTTCCATTCACATGGGAGACCCAGATTAGGTTCTAGGTTACCGGCTTTGGCCTGGCCCACCCCTGGCTGTTGTAGGCATTTGGGGAATGAACCAGTGAGTTGAGGATCTTTCTCTGTCTCTCTGGCTTTCAAATGAAAATAAAAATAACAATTTTTGTTCCAAAAAACTCTGCCACTGTCAACTATAAATTATAGGGAAATATAAGAGAAACAACAAAAGTAATAATTATTTAGTGGACTGTGATATAAAGCATTAGGAAAAATGGGGATTAAATTGCTTTCTTTAATGAAAAATCTTAATGAGAATACTTTGAAAAGAGCTTGCCTCTTTTTTCTTGTGGTACATCTTATAATTTGCAACAAGCAATTTCTCTATGCCTTGAAAAATTGTCACATTCCTTTCTAAGTTTGTATCAGGTAGTAACATTTTATTCTCTATATTTTCAGTTTCATGAATTCCCTTAATGTGAAGGTTTTTGCTGCCATTGCTTCTTTTGGGACATCCTCATCCATTTTATTAACACTTTCTTCATAAATGTAGATAAGTTGATTAAATTCCTCTGGCTGCATACCCACGGTCCATCATGACAGCAGGGTCAGCATTCCCACAATCAGCTATTTTTTCTCTAACCCCATCTACTCTCAATTTTAGTTCCACTTCCAGCATTATCATTTTTCATTTCTTTGCTGCACTTTCATTTTGTTGGCCAATTCTTTTTTAACCATTTTTGTAAATTGCCATGTGCTTGTATCACTGGACGACAAGGAAGCAATACAACTATACTCTTTAGTGTCTGTATAAACTGAACAAAGGATGAGCAATGACCAACAGATTTTGAAAGAAGTGACATGGTTTGATCACTGCTTATGATGCACATCTAAAAAAAAAATTGACAATTTTGACAGTATTCTCATATGAAAGAGAGTAGTTTTGGAGGACTTTACTCCACCATTTTTACTAATGTCAGCTACTCCTTTTGTATTTGCTTCTAAAGTTACTAAATAGAAAGTTTAGAAAGATTTAAATCAAACACAAGCCCAAAATCTCCATAGCCTCTATAAGACTTTAAGACCATATAGTGGCCGGCGCCGCGGCTCACTAGGCTAATCCTCCACCTTGCAGCACCGGCACACCGGGTTCTAGTCCCGGTCGGGGCGCTGGATTCTGTCCCGGTTGCCCCTCTTCCAGACACAGCTCTCTGATGTGGCCAGGGAGTGCAGTACTTGGGCCCTGCACCCCATGGGAGACCAGGATAAATACCTGGCTCCTGCCATCGGATCAGCGCGGTGCGCCGGCCGTGGCGGCCATTGGAGGGTGAACCAACAGCAAAGGAAGACCTTTCTGTCTGTCTTTCTCACTGTCCACTCTGCCTGTCAAAAAACAAAAACAAGAAGAAAAAAAAAAAAAACCATATAGCTTTCAGTGTGGTGTTCTCCCTCTCCCCACCATTTCTCCCTGCCCAACTTTTTCTTATTCCCAAAGTACATTTTACCTTTTAATATACTGTAACTTTACTTGCTTATTATTTAACTTCAAGATTTATACTGCCTTCCTGCTAGAATGTAAGGTCCATATGGGCTGGATCTTTATTTTGCTCATTAATGCATCCCAAGAGGCTAAAACTCTCCTTAGTACTTGGTATATAATAGGCACTCAATAAATAGTTGCTAAATGAATAAAGGCTGGGTCTCCAAAACCATATTTTCCAATTTAAAAAACACAGGAGAAAGATCAGCCATCTGGAAATTTTTGATTACAATAAAGTGAGGGAAAAGAACCCGATTGATTAAATCACATAAACTGGCCCATCAGTTTAAAATATGAATCCAGATCGTGACTATTAAAACCACCACCAATGAAAATTCTGCATGCTTGAAAAGAAATATTGAAGTCCTAGGTGGTGAAAATTCTTTCCATGCTCTTTATATTAAATGCTGTAGCATTATTTGCTCTCTAACTTACCATGACTCTACTAGGCAAGAACTGGGTTTATGAACAAAAATAAGATATAAATATTTGAGATCTGCCATTGACTGCCAAAAAGTAGAGTTTCTCTTTTCAATTTTGTCTTTCACTCAGCATGCTAAAAACAATAATTCCCTATTTCACTGACAAGTCCACAGCCAAAAGGAGTAGATGAATATTGTGATGTGGCCAGCAAATTCCCAAAGAGAGCATCTAGCAGACTGTGGGAAGAATATTTGTGAGCCAAGGCCCAACTTTTGAAAGGTTTCTTTTGTCTCCCACAGTTTAAAGTTTGCCCTTCTTAAATATTCCCTCCCCTTACTACCCTCCCCAAGATATAAACACATCCCTTGGGTAAAAATTGAAAACAATCACTGTGAACAGAAAACAAACATTATAGATTGCAACTTGCATTTAATAAGAATTTACTAGGTATTTCCTGTGAACTTAACAAATAATAATAATAATAAGCTTGAGGCTAAGCATGAGGGATAATAACATGACTTGACTTAATGAAAAGAAAAGGAGATGTCAGTGACCTAGGCTCTCAGCCCAGTTTTCCCATCACCAAATGGGGAGGCCAAAAGAAAATTTATGAGACATTCTCAGTTCATTTCAATTCTATTCACATAGCACATACCAGGTCCTGTGCTAGATCTTGGGGAGAGAGGAGCTAAAGCTAAATAAAATAAAGCTTTTATCCTCAAAGGGTTCTTACTGTGACAGAGATGACATGAAAAAGGGAATGACCATTTTTTATTTAAGGTGAGTGGCATAATGTATGTACTAGAAGCAGTGGGAGCCAGCAGAAGGAACCAGTGAGTTCCTTCTCTTTTGCAAATAGAACTTGTTTTACTTCATAATTGATCCATTGTAATCGCTGAGGCCACTGTGTGGGGACAAGAGAGGGGGAACTTTATTTCTTAGTCTCTTCCTCATTGGACAGAGCCTTGCTGGTCTCCTCTTTTCTTGGCATGAAGGCGCTCTTCATGGTTCTTGTGCACTTCCTTGGTTTTAGACCTACAGACCTCAGCCAAGAGCTTCTCACAGGCCCCATCTGCCTTCTGTGATTACTTCATTTTTCTCCTGAGGGTGGGGGGTGCGGTGAGAGGAGGCAGGGAAGCAGGGGAATAGTTCAAGAAGGACAAGCTCTCTAAACTGTGGAAGACAGAACACATTTTTCAAAAGTTGGGCCTCGGTTCACAAATATTCTTCCCACATGCTGCCAATGTCTACCTCTTGAGAATTCACTTGTTTTTAAACATGTTTTCCCTTCACCGCCAGCAGAGGTTATGATAGGCATGGTAGCCAGTCTTCATAGATCCCCAGCATCTTCTGAGCAGCTGGCACAGAAGTCACATCCTTCTCATTCAGATTACCTGTCTGGCATCTGAGCACTGGGGGTGCCCTTTCATTACCCTGCAGGCCAAGATGACTTTCCAGGACTGAGCCTGGGAATGGAAAGTCACAAGCTTGCAGATGATCAGTCCACCTTTGATCAGCTTCCAGATCTGCTGAGAAGAGCTGCCTTTGGTGATTTCATTGGTCATACTGAGTTCCAATCAGACCTTCTTTTTGTCACAGAGGAGGAGGACACTAGAAGCAGCCTCTTTTGAAATCTGGGCTCATTTGACTTCAGACAAGGTGGCAAAAGGCTTAAAGTCTTTCTAAAAATAATTTTAATTTATTGTGTTACTTATTTGAAAGGCAGGGAAGTAGACAGGAAAATATCCTCATTCTATATAATATATATAAACAAAAGCTTGCAATAGTTGGGGCTGGGCCAGGCCAAAGTGAGGCCTGGAATTCAAGCTGAGTCTCTCATGTAAGTGGCAAGAACCCATCACCTGCTGCCTCCCAGGGTCTGAAATAACAGAGAACTGGAATCTGAAATACAGTAGCCAGACTCAATCCTAGGCACTCCAATATGAGATGTGGGTATCCCCAAAAGCATTTTTTAAGTTGTTTTATTTGAAATGTTCTATTAGGAACATTTTATTATTATGATGTCAATTTTGATTCATACTTTTTAAAATAATGAAGCCACTTTTAAAAAGCAAGAAATCAGGAATTGAACTGAATACCAGCAGCATTTGAACCACTGTGTCAAATGCCTGCTCTCCATAAGCCCTTAAAGTGTGCTCTATGGACGACTGGGAATCCCCAAGGCTCTTGCAGGGCTCCTGTCAGTAAATCGTAACCCTCGAGTACACAGCTTTTTAATATTCTGTGTGTTTACTCACAGAATACAATGCATGCAAAAGTATAATAGTGTTCTCTAGGAAAAGCTCTTGTGTGATTGAGTTTTGATTTGAACTTTAAAAAAAAATTATTTATTTTGGAAGTCAGAGTTACAGACAGAGGGAGAGACAGAGTGAAAAAGAGATCTTCCATCCACTGGTTCACTCCCCAGATGGCTGCAATGGCCAGTACTAGGCCAGACCAAAGCCAGGAGCCAGGAGCTTCATCTGGGCCTCCCACATGGGTGGCAGGAGGCCAAACACTTGGGCCATTTTCCATTGCTTTTCCTAGGCCATTAGCAGGGAGCTGGATCAGAAGTGGAACATCTGACACAAACCAATGCCCATATGGGATGTTAGTGTCATAGTTGGCGGCTTTTTACCATCTACATCACAACCCCAGAGGGGCTCCCTTGCCCCATTTTGAACTCTTTTCATGGAACACTGTATTTATCTGAAAAAAAAAAAAAAAACAAAACTGAAAATTATGGCTAACAATATATCAAAATAAACAAAGTGAGCCAGTCGCTTCAAGGAAATCCACTAACAGAATTTTGCTGCCAGTGATAATATGTGAGCTTTCAAAAGAAAATTAGAATTTTGGAAAATTTGCATTAGTCATCATAAAGCTTATCAGCTTTCTAATGTTTAAGAACATTTCTGATGAGATTGGTGGTGCTATTAACAAATGTGATTTTTTTGAAGATTTATTTTATTATTTATATGAAAGAGTTACACAGAGAAGCAGAGGCAGAGAGAGAAAGAAAGGTCTTCCATCTGCTGGTTCATTCCCCAGTTGGCCGCAACAGCCAGAGCTGTGCTGATCCGAAGCCAGGAGCCAGGAGCCAGGAGCCTCCTCTGGGTCTCCCACGCGGGTGCAGGGCCCAAGGACTTGGGCCATCTTCTACTTTCCCAGGCCATAGCAGAGAGCTGGATGGGAAGAGGAGCAGCCGGGACTGGAACCGGTGCCCATATGGGATGCTGGCACTGCAGGTGGTGGCTTTACCTGCTACACCACAGTGCTGGCCCCTTTAAAATATTTTATAATGAATCAGTTTGGGGAAAATCTATGTAAGTCAGTGAAACAGTATCTTACAAATGATCAATATACCAACCATGCAAACCATGCATGGGTTAAAAAAAGAAACATTCAAAGTACAATTATTGTTGTGACAGAATATGAAATGTTTATTGATGTAAGTTCAGATTCTATGTTGTAACAGGCCTTTAATAAAGTATGACTTACTAAGTTTTGATATAGTATCAAAGAATACCTACAATTATCTGAAAAGGCTATTAAAATTTATCTTTTCCAACTGTGTATCTGCGTGAAGTCAGATTTTCACCATCTAACTGAACCAAAACAACAGTATCAATTGACAGAAGAATCCAGCTGTTTTAGGACATCAAAGAGTTTTGCAAAAAGGTGTGATAATGGCATTCTTTTCACAAAACTTAACATTTTGAAAATAATGTTACATTTTTTTCATTGATATGTTGATGTTACCAAGCAGTGGCTTTATTGTTTTTTGCTTTTATTGATTTGAGAGGCAGAGAGAGAGAGAGAGACAGAAACTGAGAACTCCCATCTGCTGGTTTACTTATCAAATATCCCCAGTTGGGAACTCAACCCTGTTCTCCCACATGGGTGACAAGAAATCAACTACTCAGTCATCACTGCTGCCTCCCGGGGTCTGCATTACCTACCTGAAAGTGGAGTCAGGAGCTGGATCCAGGAACCAAACTCAAATACTCATCCAAGGTGGGATGCAAGTGTACTAGCTGGGATGGCTTAATCGCTACACCAAATGCTCACCCCTACCAACCACTATTTATAATTGGAATTGTCTATGTGTGTGTGTGTGTATAAAATTATCTTTTTAAAACTACATATGAGAACATGTATATTATTTTCATTTTTGAGGTGAATTACTGTTTTAAATTTCCGGTTGAAATTTTTAATATAATAAATGCTAGTAGATATAATCCATATAAGCAAAAGCTCTTTGGGGTCCTTAATCATTTTTAAGAATGTAAAGGGTCCAGAGACCAAAATGTTTGAGAACTGCTCCCCTGTTCCACTTCTGATCCAGCTCCCTGCTAGTGCTTGGGAAAGCAGCAGCAGATTGTCCAAGTGCTTGGGACCCTCACCCGAGTGGGAACCCAGATAAAACTTTTGGCTTCAGTCCCCTGCTTTTGTGGCCGTTTGGGGAGGGAACCAGTGTATCAAAGACCTCTCTCTCTCTAACTTTTATTTTTATTTTTTTAATTTTTATTTATTTATTTGAAAGTCAGAGTTACACAGAGAGACAGAGAGAGAGAGAGAGAGAGGTCTTCCATCCGCTGGTTCAACCCCCAACTGGCCGCAATGGCCGGAGCTGTGCCGATCCGAAGCCAGGAGCCAGGAGCTTCTTCCAGGTCTTCCCATGCGGGTGCAGGGGCCCAAGGACTTGGGCATCTTCTACTGCTTTCCCAGGCCACAGCAGAGAGCTGGATTGGAAGTGGAGCCGCCGGGACTAAACAGGCGCCCATAGGGATGCCGGGGCTTCAGGCCAGGGCGTTAACCCCTGCACCACAGCGCCAGCCTCTATAACTTTGCTTTTCAAGTAAATAAAATAAGTCTTAAAAAAGAAAAGAAAGTTTTTACCCAAGACATGCACCCGACTCTTCCTCTTCAAGCCACTGTTCAGCTCACTTTCTCAGGGAGGTCCTCACTGACCTCCGTCCCTACTCCCAGGATGGCTGGGTCCTCAGGTTAGGATGTTCTGGCCTGCGAGGGCATTTGATGGGTTTTTTCACCACTAGTCAAAAGTTGTGGCACCCAAGGGGCTCTCTTTTCACGGAGTCGTAGTTGGGGGCCAGCTCCTAGAATAGGAATTCTGAAGGAAGAGATGGCGACTTGTTCCATCTGAGCTCCGACAGGGCCACGCACTAGCGTGGTGGTCTGTGAAGGGACGCCAGGGCCCAGAGGCGAAATCCAAACCCGGGCAGTAGTCTCTGGAGCGCTCCAGGCGGCAGCATCCAGCATGGCGCCGCCTCCGCTCCGCCTCCTCTCAGCTCGCCAGGGGCCTCTCTAATCCATCGCCCGGCGCTCGTCCCTTCTCCCTGGTCTGCCCTGCGCGTCCCATCGATCTGCTCGGCTATCGCGCGCCTGCGCCCTTAGGCTGTCAGTCAGAGGCGGCGTGGTGAGTGCTGGGAGCGGTGGCTGCGCGCCGGGAGCTGAGGTACAGCTGCGCTTTCTGCCCTCCCAGGCCGCGCACGAGCTGGCTAACCCGGGTGAGCAGCGCCGTGAGGGCCAGAGGCCCTTCTTCATCTGAGGGAGGCGGGCTCGCCGAGCCGAACCGAAGGGAACGCGGAGGGGGGATGTCGAGTCTCGAGGTCGCCAGCCCAAGTCCCTGCTCGCCTCGGCCGGGGAGCCAAGTGTCTGAGCTACAGGGGAGGTTGGGGAAAATCCGAGCCAAGCACCATGTGCAACAGCGGGACCGAATTTCGGGGAGGGGAGGTTTTGTTCCTAGTCAGGATGAGCAAGCACCAGACCCGGGACCGGGACCATACGCCCGTACTACCGTGGCTGGGCTCTCACTTTGGCCCTTCATTCATTTCTTCAGGCTGCCTTTGGTCGTTTGGGTGCAGGGCAGTGAACTACAAAGAGGAATAGAGGGCGGCCCCTGCGCTCGGGCAGCGGACAGCGAGCTGGCAGGCCAGTTAGGATGTACCGTGCTTCTCCGGGTAAGCCGCGGGAGGCAGCGAGTGCCGAGATCCCGGCGTGCCTGAGACGCCTCGCACGCCCTTTGGAAAGCTCGGGCGGCCAGCGAGCGAGACGCCTTTCCTGGACTCTCGGCACCCAGAGGCCTGGCAGTGATACCGAGAGACTTGACCGTCTGCCTGATGTCACGCTTAGTTCTGCTCGTGATGCCTGTTCTTGATTCCTAGGCTACCTTTCTTCACCCGCAGCCTCCTTGAGAGAAGCCTCAGTGGCCAGTGGCCCGGGTGCTAGTGCCCCTCTGCGCAAGTCGGAACTGAGCGCTTACACAGAGCTCTTGCGAGGTTCACAGAGCCTCACTTCAGAAACAGTAATTGAGTGCCTGGCATCTGAATGAGAATACAGTGATGGGGCTCACGCAGTTCTTTCCTTAAAGGAACTCTCAAGTAGACATTTAAGAATGCCGTTCTTAAGTGGACTCTTAAACATGTATGTATGTACGGTGCAGCCTGTACAGGCTGGAGGCAATCTGTTCACGGTAGAGGAGAGGCTTCTAGGAGGAAGGAGTCGCTTCTACCAGAGTACTTGGAAGCGTTAGCAGTGGCTTCGGAGGCAAGATGATTCCTTAAAAGTTTAGTGGTTGATATCCAGGTACAGGAGAAAGAATCCCTGGGGAGCAAGAACAGCAATGCAGGGAGAATTCTGAAACAGCATGGTTCAGCTGGCACAAGAGGCTTTCCTTGATCTAGCCTCTGTCTGATAATACCAAATACTCATGGTGCTTGTCCTGAGAGAGACATTATTTTATGTACTTTATGTAGAACAAGTAGCATAATCCTAACAACAACTCTGTGAAGTAGAAACTGTAATTATCTCTATCTTATAAAATGAAAAAAAAAAATGAGGCACAGGAAAGTTAGGGAGCTTGCCCTAGTTCACACAGCTAATAAATGGTAGTGCTAGAATTGAAACTCAGGCGGCCTGGCTCTGGGATCTGTAACTTAACACTAGCCTTCCCTCTAGGACTGAGGACACTGGGAGTTTTAATGGCAGACCCTCCCCACCCCAGTCACACCATCTTTGAGTGGCAGAACTAGAACTCAAACTCAGATGTTTTGACTCTTAAGGGTCCACAAAACTTTTAATAATATCTGATGTGATTAAAGTTATAGAATGCCAAATTGAAGTTTAATTCCATCAGAGGTAATACTGGCTGGAATAAAAATGATCATATCTAAACAGTAAATATTGCAAGTGAGACATCATTTTGTGCCTTGAATGTCCTCAGCGTTAAGTGCTATAGCCAAGATATTGATGTATGGAGCCTAGGACTGATTATAATTTTGGTAAAAGTACATTATTTGCCAATTTGGTGTTGAATAAATTTCCTTTTTCTGAATATTACATTTTTTAAAGATGTATTTATTTGAAAAGCAGAGTTACATGGAAACAGAGATCTTCCATCCACTGGTTCACTCCCCAACAGCCAGTGCTGGGCCAGGCTGAAGCCAGGAGCCAGGAGCTTCTTCCAGTTCTCTCACGTGCATACAGGGGACCAAGCACCTGGGCCATCCTCTGCTGCTTTCCCAGGCACACTGTCAGGGGACTGGATTGGAAGTGGAGCAGCCAGGAATTGAACTGGCACCCATATTAGATTGCTGGCATTGCAGGCGGCAGCTTTTACTCACTACACCACAATGCTGGCTCCCCATTTTGTACTCTTATTAAAATAAAAATCAAATCAGAATACTTTCAGTTTATTTTTTTTAAAGATTTTATTTATGTTTATTTGAGAGGTAGAGTTACAGTGAGAAGGAGAGACAGAGAAAGGTCTTCCTTGTGTTGGTTCACTCCCCAGTTGGCTGCAATAGCTGGAGCTACGCCAATCCGAAACCAGGAGCTAGGAGCTTCTTCCAGGTCTCCCATGCAGGTGCAGGGGCCCAAGTACTTGGGCCATCTTCTACTGCTTTCCCAGGCCACAGTAGAAAGCTGGATTGGAGGAAGAGCAGCTGGGACTAGAACCAGCGCCCACATGGGATGCCAGATCTGCAGGTAGAGGATTAACTTACTGTGCCATGATGCCGGCTCCTTTCAGTTTCAGTCAATATGGATTTGTGATCTTTTACCATGCCTATGTTCTGTGGTAACTGCAAAAATCAATTTATTACCTTGATTTTGATAAAAGGAATTAAAAATTTTGTCTTTTTCTGTAATTGGGTTCTGCAAATATAGTTCAGATACAAACCCACATTTGAGTTTATAATTAGGGGTAATGTTGGGGCTTTGTGGTGTAGAGTATAAAGCCACCACCTGTGATGCCGGCAATCCCGTATGAACGCTGGTTCAAGTTCTGGCTACTCTGCCTCTGATCCAACTCCCTGCCGATGGCCTGGCAAAACAGCAGAAGATGGCCAAGTGCTTGGGCCCCTGCCACCCATGCGGGAGACTCAACTGAAGCTCCTGGCTTCAGCCTGGCCCAGCCTTGGCCATTGGGGCCACTTGGGAGTGAACCAGTAGATGGAAGATCTCTCTCTCTCTCTCTCTCTCTCTCTCTCTCTCTGTAACTCTGACTTTCAAAAAATATATCTTAAAAAAAAATTAGGGGTAATGAGAAGACTAGAGCAGATGGCTAAATTGTTGGAGGCACCTTAAGGTCATTTCCTACTTTTCAGAAGGCTACCATGGTTATGTTTCTGCTGGTAATTTAAGTCATACATTTTTAAATGTTTTCAGCAATTTCACCTGTCAGAAGCCTACTCGATAAACTGTTACTTCTTCAGAATCAGCTCAAGCCTTGCCTTCCTGTAAAACCTTCCCTGTGTTTTCTAGGAAGATTTAGGTTTTCCCTTCCCTGTATTCCCCCTGCAGCTTGGATGTATCTCTGCCATGGCACTAAAGGTAGTATATTATAATTTACTGAATTTGTCTTCTCCTAATTATGAACAAATCAAAAGCAAGGCCGGGTTTTTTTTTTTTTTTTTTTTTTTTCAATCATATCTGCCTACTTTTACCAAGGATGGAGCTGAGGGTATGTGTTGGTTAAAGAGAATGAAAAGATAGAATTGGAAGTGATGCATTTGATGTAAGTGGATATGAGTACCATAGATAAAAATGGTTAGTACTGTGTTAGCACTTTGACTTTTGCTATATCTTTTTTTGTTCATTGTTTTTTTCTGTGCTTCCAGTTTGTAAAAATGGAGTTTCAAGCAGTAGTGATGGCAGTTGGTGGGGGATCTCGGATGACAGACCTGACTTCCAGCATTCCCAAACCTCTGCTTCCAGTTGGGAACAAACCTTTAATTTGGTACCCATTGAACTTGCTTGAGCGTGTTGGATTTGAAGGTGAGCTGTGACAATGAGATGTACTCATAAAACTTTTAGGATGTTTGATCCCAAAGATTTGTCAGCATTATGAGGACAAGAGAGGATGAATGAATGAAGACAAGACTCAAAATTGTCTGGAGACTGGCCCTTTTACATCAGGAACATAGCTATACTCTATTGCTATTGAGAAGATAGCTGGTCTTCACAATGACCCGAGGTAAACACTGACATGATATCAGAAAGAGTAGATTAGGAATCTGAGTGCCTCCTAGTCATTGCTTGTTGAGAATCTTTTATGTTCCAAGTAATATATGAAATACAGGGGCACAAAATCAAAAAGGCAGCTCAGACCCTAACTTCCAGAACCTTAAAGTCTTTTAGGAAGAGATCTCTTTATTTTCTGCATAGGTGACTGAGTAGATAATGATGCCATTAACTAGGAAAAGGAATATGAGACAAGGAATAGGTTTTGTGTGTGTGTGTGTGTGTGTGTTTAAGATTTATTGATTGAGGCTGGCGCCGTGGCTCACTAGGCTAATCCTCCGCCTTGCGGCGCCAGCACACCGGGTTCTAGTCCTGGTCGGGGTGCTGGATTCTGTCCCTGTTGCCCCTCTTCCAGGCCAGCTCTCTGCTGTGTCCAGGGAGTGCAGTGGAGGATGGCCCAAGTGCTTGGGCCCTGCACCCCATGGGAGACCAGGATAAGCACCTGGCTCCTGCCATCGGATCAGCGCAGTGTGCAGGCCGCAGCGGCCATTGGAGGGTGAACCAACGTCAAAGGAAGACCTTTCTCTCTGTCTGTCTCTGTCTCTCACTGTCCACTCTGCCTGTCAAAAAAAAAAAAAAAAAAAAAAAAAAAAGATGTATTGATTGATTGATTTGAAAGCGAGACTGACATCTACTGGTTCATCCCTCAAATACCTGCAACAACCAGGGCTAGAGCAGGCTGAAGCCAGGAGCTGGGAACTCCAAGGCTTTATGTGGGTGGCAGGAACCCAAGTACTAGGCCACCATCTGTAGCCTCACGGGGGCATTAGCAGGAGGCTAGATTAGAAGCATGGAGTAGCCAAGACTCAAACCAGGTGCTCCAATATAGGATGTGGGTGTACTAAGCAGCAACTTAACACACTATATATCTCAACGCCCAACCTGGAACAAGTTTGAATTAATATAATGGGCTCAGGGCCGGTGCCATGGCGCACTAGGTTAATCCTCTACCTGCGGCGCCGGCATCCCATATGGGTGCTGATTCTAGTCCTGGTTGCTCCTCTTCCCATCCAGCTGTCTGCTATTGCCTGGGAAAGCAGTAGAAAATGGCCCTGCACCCTCATGGGAGGCCAGGAAGAAGCACCTGGCTCCTGGCTTCAGATTGACGCAGCTCTGACCATTGCAGCCATTTGGAGAGTGAACCAATGGAAGGAAGACCTTTCTCTCCGTCTCTCTCACTGTCTAACTCTGTCAAATAAATAAAAATAAAAAAAATATAATGGGCTCATCTTTGGCCACATTGAATTTGAGGTATCCTATAGTTAGAACAAATCAGAGTGCATATTGGATATGATAAATTAGAGTACCAGATCCTTTGTTCCCAGTCTTGTGATCCAGTGTTTATTCTTCATGAGAGTTTACCTTCCTGAGACAGACTCATGCACATTTCTGTGCAGTAGACAAAATGACATTGTTGTTAATAGATACGTTCTGGGCACAAGCACATGACTCGGTGGTTAAGTTGCCACTTGGGAGGCCTGTGTCCCATATTGGAGTGCCTGGTTCAAGACCTAGCTCTTTTGCTTCCAATCCAGCTTCATGGTAAGGTGCATCATGGAAGGCAACAGATGGCTGCAGTGCCTGGGGCCCTGCCATCCACATGGGAGACCTGGATGTAGTTTTAGGCAGCTGACTTAGGCCTGGCCCAGTCCTGGCTGTTGTGGGCATTTGGGGAGTGGATCTGCCAGTGGAAGATCTGTCTGCCTGTCTCTTTCTGTCTTTAAATAAAAATGAAAATGAATAAATAAATTGTTTTGAAAGAAATGTTTTTGAAGAGATTTTCTTTTTAGAGCTCAGTTTCACAGGTGAAGGAGATTGTGACACACTTGATATACTTTAAAATGTCATACTTTAGGGACCATCACTGTGGCATAGTGGGGTAAAGCCACTGCCTGTGCCACTGGCATTCCATATAGGTGCCGGTTCAAGTCCTGGCTGTTCCACTTCTGATCCAGCTCCCTGCAGTGGCCTAGAAAAAGCAGTAGAAGATGATCCAAACATAGGAGAACCTGCCATCTACCCAGGGAGACCCAGATGAAGCTCCTGGCTGCTGACTTGAGCCTGGCTCAGTTCAGCTGTTGCAACATCTGGGGAGTGAACTAGAAGGTAGAAGATCTCTATGTCTTAAAAAAATCAGACTTTAGTAAGTTTTATGGATTTTTTCACCTGTGACTTTGCCTTTTACTTTTACTAGGTATCTTTGGTTCACATTTGGGAGTGCGCTTTTGTGGTGTGTTTAATACCTACATCATGGAAGATTCCTCACTGAGGCTCAATCAAAATTTAGGGGGTAGCTACTAAATGCAAAATCTGGAGTTTGGTAGCTGTGTTCACTCATTTCATATTGTTTATTATTTTATAAAGGGAAGTTAACATAGCCCTACTTAGCATTTTTTTTAAAGATTCATTTATTTATTTGAAAGACGGAATTACAGAGAGGCAAAGAGAGGGAGGTAGGGAGGGAGAGAGAGATGTCTTCCATTCTCCAGTTCACTCCCCAGATGGCTGCAACTGCTGGAGCTGAGTCAATCCGAAGCCAGGAGGCTCTTCTGGGTCTCCTAGGCGGGTGCAGGGGCCCAAGAACTTAGGCCATCTTCCACTGCTCTCACAGGCCATAGCAAAGAGCTGGATCAGAAGTGGATCAGCGGGGACTTGAACTAGCACCCATATGGGATGCCAGCACTGCAGATGGTGGCCTTACCCGCTATGCCACAGCACCAGCCCCAGCTTTTAAAAGTTAATTAACTTTTGATTATTTCAAAGCCAGAGGTTTTCTGTTTGCTGATTCACTCCTCAAATGCTAACAACAGCTGAGGCTGGGCCAGGCTGAAGCCAAGAATCTAGAACTCCATCCAGGTCTCCCTGTGGATGGCAGGGACCCAAGTACTTGAGCCATCACCTGCTGCCTCCCAGGGTGCACATTTCCAGGAAGCTGGAATTGGAAGCAGAGCTGGGCCTAGAGGCCAAGCACTCCAATATCGGATGCAGGCATTCCAAATGGTATCTTAACTGTACCAAATGTTCACTCTGCTGCTTAGCTGATGTCTCCCTCTACAAAGAAGAATCGTGAGCCAATTGATAGACTGATTGTCCCATATTTGCAGTTACTTCCTTCATTCTGTACCTAAAATGTCCTCTCTAACCTATGGAATATCACCTTGCCAGCATCCCAAACAGCGTGACTTGCCTTGTCCACTTTGCTTCTATCATACTTTATTTTTCTATCATAGCACCTTTCAAGGATTGTTCTATACTAAACTTGGTGACATGAGAGATTTTGTGATCTCCTAAGAGCAGGAACTGTGCCTAATTCATCTTCCTAATGTCAGCATTTTACATACAACAGGTACTTAAGGAAGATTTGTGGGACTTGAATTTATCATGGCCTACCTCAAAGGCCACCTCTTCTAAGAAATCTTCCTTAGTTAATCCTTTCTTATCTAATTTTCCATGTTAAGTTTCTTGAGAATAGGAACCATGTTGAGTTAATTTCTGAATTCTCAGTGCTATTTGTCCTTTATATATTAAACTATTTGCATTTGTTGGATGAATGAGCAAGTTAATTACTAAAAGAAAGCAGACTGGGGAGAGAAGAAAGAAAGGAGGGGAAGTTAAATTATGTGAAAGAGAGGATGAAAGAAAATAAAGGATGAAAATAGAAAAAAATTATTCAGTAAAAGGAAGGGATAATTGTGATCTGGAGCAGTATCATGGTCTGAGTGATAATTATTAAAGAGATACTAAAATCAGCTCTCCAACATTAGCACCACGTGCTATATTGTAGTGGGTTACAGTGTATCACCAAATGTCCATGACAAAACCTCGTTTTCTCATTGGTTGATAGCTACATGGATAAAGTAAAGACATCTAATTTGTGAAAATTGCCTCTTATTAGAGTCCGTTGTAATCACTGGTGGTTTCCTGGTAGGAGATGGTAGCTCTTTTTTGAAATGTGACCCCATTTGTATGGGTTTTTTAAAAGATCTAGCTATCTATCTATCTATTTGAAAAGCAGAGCAACAAAAATAGATTAATCTTTCATAAGCTGATTCACTTCCCAAATGGCTGTAATAACCAGAGCTGGACCAGAATGAAAGCAGGAGCCAGAAACTCCATCCTGGTCTCCCACACAGGTGATGGGCCCAAGTACTTGGGACATCTGCTGCTTTTCCAGGACTTTAGCAGGGATGCTGGATCAGAGGTAGAGCAACTGGGACTTGGACTGGTGCTCACATGGGATGCCAGTGTCACAGGCAGCAATTTTAACATGTTGCATCACAACACTGGCCCCCAAGTTTCCTGTTTATAAAATGACATTGTAAGAATTGAGAGGATGCATGTAAACACATTAAAAATGCTCAGTAATAATAGCAGCTATTATTATATGCAGAAATAGACCAAATCTAATTGAAAGAGTGAAACCATTTTCTAAATGAATGAGCTTTTGTGTTTTTCTTTCTTTTTTTCCTTACATGCTATAGAAGTCATTGTGGTTACAACCAAAGATGTCCAAAAGGCTCTATGTGCAGAATTCAAGATGAAAATGAAGCCAGATATTGTATGTATTCCTGATGAGGCTGACATGGGAACTGCAGATTCTCTGCGCTACATATATCCAAAACTTAAGGTAAAAATTGTTGACTTTTATTTTTAAGATTTATTTATTTATTTGAAAGTCAGAGTTACGCAGAGAGAGGTCTTCCATCCACTGGTTCACTCTCCAATTGGCTGCAACGGCTGGAGTTGCGCCGATCCGAAGCCAGGAGCCAGGAGCTTCTCCCGAGTCTCCCACGCGAGGGCAGGGGCCCAAGGATTTGGGCCATCTTCTACTGCTTTCTCAGGCCATAGCAGAGAGCTGGATCAGAAGTGGAGCAGCCAGGTCTCAAACTGAGGCCCATATGGGATGCCGGCAGGGCAGGCAGTGGCTTTACCCGCTACACCACAGTGCCGGCCCTGACTTTTATTGTTTATTGAAGATAAATAATATTGTATTTTCCCAGTCAGTTTATGAAACTTTAGATCATGTATTTTGTTGCTCATATACCCTTCAAGTGTTTTTGGTTTGATTATTAGTAAAGATTTAGACTTCAGTTGGTATAGTTAATGGTTTTCTTTCTTTCTGTTTTTAAAGATTTATTTTTATTTGAAAAGCAGAGTGATAGAGAGTGGAAGAGACAGACAGAGAAAGAGATCTTCCATGCACTGGTTCATTCTCCAAATTCGCCACAACAGCTGGGGCTGCCCAGAACTCCATCCTGGTCTCTCATATGGGCGACAGGGCCCCAGATATTTGAACCATCTTCCACTACTTTCCAAGGCACATTAGCAAGGAACTTGATCAGAAGATCAGCCAGGTCTCCAACTGGCTTGCTTTCTTTCCTTTTTTTTTTTTTTTTTTTAAATTAATTAATTTATTTGAAATAGGTACACAGAGAGAGGAAGAGACAGGAGAGAGAGACATAGAGAGATCTTCCATCTGCTAGTTCACTTCCCAAATGGCCATAACAGCTGGGGCTTGGCCAGGTTGAAGCCAGGAGCCAGGAGCTTCATCCAGGTTTCTCACATGGGTAAAGGGGCCATCTTCCACTGCTTTCCCAGGTGCATTAGCAGGGAGCTAGATCAGAAGTGGTAGAGCTGGGACTTGAACCAGCAGATGCCAGCACTGCAGATGGCAGCTTAACCCGCTATGCCAGAGCACAGGCCTTTAGACAAATTCTTTTTTTTTTTTTTAAAGATTTATTTATTTGTTTGAAAGTCAGAGTTACACATCGAGGAAGGAGAGACAGAGAGGTCTTCTATCCGTTGGTTCACTCTGCCTGTCTGTGGCTTGCCCTTTCACTTTCTTAATATCTTTCGTTGACCAGAAGTTTACATGTTGGTGAAATTCAAATTACGTTTGCTTCTGTGATTATTGCTGTGGTGCTGGCATCCCATATCGGCACAGTTTTGTGTCCTGGCTGCTCTATAGCTCTCTGCTAATGGCCTGGAAAGGCAATGGAAAATGACCCAAATGCTTGGACCCCTGCACCCACTTGGAGAGACCTGGAAGAAGCTCCTGGCTCCTGGCTTTGGATCAACCCAACTCTGGCTATTTTGACCATTTTGGGAGTGAGCCAGCAGAATGGAAGACCCCTCTCTCTCCTTCTCTTTACCTGTAACACTGCCTCTCAAATAGATAAAACAAAAACAAAAACAAAAAAAACAACTGTCACCCATATGGAATGCTAGCATCAGGCAGCCATTTAACCTGCTGTGCCACAATGTCAGCCCCTGGTACTATCAGCTGTCAGCTATTCTAGTTACTTGTAACTTTTAGAACAAGCTTGTCAGTTTATACAAAAAGGCTTTCTGGGGTTTTGGTTGGAAGTGCATTGAATCTGTAGATCAATTTGAGATCTGACATCTTAATATTGAGTTTTGCATTTCTTTAAAATGGTATATATGTTTAAGTTTCCTTTAATTTCTTTCAACAGTGTTAATAATTTTCATTCTGGATGTTTTGAACATGTCTTGGTAAATTTGTTTTATTTCTAGCAAAATGTTTTTAATGATATCATAACTGGAATTTTGAAGTCTATTTTTCCATTGTTTATTACTTTGGAATAGAAATACAGGTTTTTTTTGTTTTGTTTTGTTTTGTTTTTTTTTTAATTTTTATTTTATTTTATTTTTGAGAGGCAGAGTGGACAGTGAGAGAGAGAGACAGAGAGAAAGGTCTTCCTTTTGCCGTTGGTTCACCCTCCAATGGCTGCCGCGGCCGGCACTGATCCGATGGCAGGAGCCAGGTGCTTCTCCTGGTCTCCCATGGGGTGCAGGGCCCAAGCACTTGGGCCATCCTCCACTGCACTCCCGGGCCACAGCAGAGAGCTGGCCTGGAAGAGGGGCAACCGGGACAGAATCCGGCGCCCCGACCGGGACAAGAACCCGGTGTGCCAGCGCCGCAAGGCGGAGGATTAGCCTAGTGAGCAGCGGTGCCAGCCAGGTTTTTTTGTTTGTTTGTTTTTGTTTTTTGTATTTGACTTGATAACTTGTGTCTCTGTTAAATTGTATTCTTTTATTATTTTCTGTATATATCATCATTTCTACTGAAAATTAAAGCAATATTATGTCTTTTTATTCTTTATAGCCATTTCCATTCACTTTATGGCCTCCTTTTCTGCTTTCCTATGCCTTAGATTAGAGTAGAGGCTCCATAATTATTGGATGTGTTACTTTCTGGAGTGCAACTGCTTATTTATTTAGAGGAGATACAGGGAATTTCACTATGTTAATGAAAAAATTCTTTTCTGGGACAGAAGCCAACTTTATTAGGGAGCTTGGAATTTTTTTTCAATTTTTATTTTTTGACAGGCAGAATGGACAGTGAGAGAGAGAGACAGAGAGAAAGGTCTTCCTTTTTGCCGTTGGTTCACCCTCCAATTGCCGCCACGGCTGGCGCGCTGCGGCCAGCGCACCGCGCTGATCCGAAGGCAGGAGCCAGGTGCTTCTCCTGGTCTCCCATGGGGTGCAGGGCCCAAGCACTTGGGCCATCCTCCACTGCACTCCCTGGCCACAGCAGAGAGCTGGCCAGGAAGAGGAGCAACTGGGACAGAATCTGGCGCCCTGACCGAGACTAGAACCCGGTGTGCCGGCACCGCAAGGTGGAGGATTAGCCCAGTGAGCCACGGTGCCGGCCAATTGTTAAAAATTGTAAAATTCACATAACAAAGTTTACCATTTTTTAAAATTAAATAATCATTTAAAATATATTTATTTATTTGAAAGGCAAAGTTACAGAGAAAAGAGAGACAGTGTGAGCTGGAGAGTGAGCTTCCATCCGCTGGTTCACTTCCCAAATGGCTGCAATGGCCAAGACTGGGCCATGCCAATGCCAGGAGCCAGCAGCTTCATCCAGGTTTCCCACATGGGTATGGGGCCCCAAAGACTTGAGCCATCCTCTGCTGCATTACCAGGCACGTTAGCGGGAAGCTGGATTAGCAGTGGAGAGGCCAGGACTCAAACTGGCGCCCTTATGAGATACTGGTGTTGCAGGTGGCAGCCTAACCCACTACACCGTAATGCTGGTCCTAGTTTATTATCTTAACTTTTTTTTAAGTGTACTGTTCAGTATACTAAATATTCATAATGTTATACATTTACCACCTTCTGACTCCATAACTTCCATTTTTTTTTTAATATTTATTTTATTTATTTGAAAGGTAGAGTTACAGAAAGAAAGGAAGAGGAGCCAGCACTGTGGTACAGTGGGTTAACGCCCTGGCCTGAAGCATCGGCATCCCATATGGGCTCTGGTTCGAGACCCAGCTGCCCCACTTTCAATCCAGGTCTATGCTATGGCCTGGGATAGCAGTAGAAGATGGCCCAAGTCCTTGGGCCCCTGCATTCATGTGGGAGACCGGGAATAAACTCCTGGCTTCGGATCAGCACAGCTCTGGCCGTTGCGGCCAATTGGGGAGTAAACCAGCGAAGGAAGACCTCTCTCTCCTCTCCTCTCCTCTCCTCTCCTCTCCTCTCCTCTCCTCTCCTCTCCTCTCCTCTCCTCTCCTCTCCTCTCCTCTCCTCTCCTCTCCTCTCCCTGTGTAACTCTGAATTTCAAATAAATAAATAATTTTTTTTTTTTGACAGGCAGAGTGGACAGTGAGAGAGTGAGACAGAGAGAAAGGTCTTCCTTTTGCCGTTGGTTCACCCTCCAATGGCCGCCGCGGTCGGCGTGCTGCGCTGATCCGATGGCAGGAGCCAGGTGCTTCTCCTGGTCTCCCATGGGGTGCAGGGCCCAAGCACTTGGGCCATCCTCCACTGCACTCCTGGGCCACAGCAGAGAGCTGGCCTGGAAGAGGGGCAACCGGGACAGAATCCGGCGCCCTGACCGGGACTAGAACCCGGTGTGCCGGCGCTGCAAGGTGGAGGATTAGCCTATTGAGCCACGGCGCCAGCCAATAAATAAATATTAAAAAAAAAAAAAGAAAGAGAGAGATCTTCCATCAACTATTTCACTCCCCAAATGGCCACAATGGCTGGGGCTGGGTCAGGCTGAAGCCAGGAGCTAGGAGCTTCTTCTAGGTCTTCCACGTGGGTACAGTGACCCAAGTACTTGGACCATCCTCTGCTGCTTTCCTAAGTGCATTAGCAGAGAGCTGGATTGGAAGTGGAGCAGCTGGGACTCAAACTGGCACCCATGTGGGATGCCAGCGTTGCAGGCAGTGGCTTTACCCACTACACCACAGTGCCGGCCCCAACTTTCATCTCATAAAACTGAATCTCTAAACTCATGAAACAATGACTTCACCCTTCCCCCAGCCCTTAGCTACCACCATTCTTTCTTTAAAAAAATTTTTAAATTTATATATGTATTTATTTTTATTTGTTTGAAAGAAAAAGAGACATCTTCCACCCTCTGATTTACTCCCCAAATGCCTGCGATATCCAGGACCAAGCCAGGTCAAAGCCAGGAGCCTGGAACTCAATCCAAGTCTCTTGTGTGGAGGTCAGGGACCCAAGTATCTGAATCCTTCAGAATGAACACTAGCAGGAAGCTGGAATTGAAAGTAGAACCAGGACTTGAACCCATGCACTCTGATAATGAGATGCTAGTGTCCCAAGCAGTGTCTAAACACTGTCAGATGCTTGCTACATACTTTCTGTGACTTTGTCTTAAGAATTTCATAAAGTGAAATCATATATGTCTTTTTTTTTTTCAAATAGAGATTTGTCTTTGTCAGTAATACCCATCCTCTTTGAAGGTAAAAAGAGATGACATGGAATTCTGTGACATGCAAGGAAGTGAATTTCTCGTGTTTTAGTCTCTGTCTCATTTCTGTTTAGACGTAACATGAAAGTCAGCTTGGACCTTGTACTTTTTAGTTATGCTAAACTAAAACAGTCAGAATGAGTTCAGTATGAGATTTTTTAACTGATAAAATTACTTATTTCACTTTTGAATTTTTGCACTTTTCCTGATAATTCTGTAGCATGAGTAGTTTCAAGTGAGCTTTTCAGATCCTAAATGCATCCTAATTATAAGCTTTAAGATAACATGAACATGCATTTTACTAAAAAACGTACTCTTGTATATATGTATTGGAGAGGAATGGGTCCTATAAAATTTCTGTGAAAAATTGTGATCAACCCAATCCTGAGAGTTTATCTGGAAATTGGAAGTGTCAAAAGGCTACCACAGAAACATACTCTTAACCAAATCTTTAGCTTGAAAAAAAATTCTAAAAATATTCTAAGGGTGGTATATAGTTTTATAGTAGCCATGGATTTTCAACAACTGGGTAGTTTCTTTGGATCAGCCAGCCCTGATGATGAACAGCGTTCCTGGAAAAGTGTCATCATCCTGCACCCTTCCTTCCTCAGGCCTTGGTCTTGGTTCCAAAAGTGACGTCAGTGAGGTTGTAAGATCCATGACCTTCAGGTTGATGTTATCCTCTCAGGCAGCAAGACTGACAAACTCTGGGATCTTAAGAAGAAAGTGGAATTTTTGTTGGAAATCAAGAGATGGGTTTTGTCATCTGGTTTATATCAAAGTCTGCTGGCTCACCATTCTCAGAAATAAACTTTCTTCTGGGTTAGGAAACTTCATCAAAAGACTTGGAATATACTGGTTTGGAAAGTTTCTTCAGTTTCTCCTGGTTTTGAAGTCCCCAGCCTTATAGTGGAATGAGGTCCATTGGAGGCAGATGAATTGGCCTTGGGTGAGGAATCTGGTATTGCAGTCCAGTTTCAATCCTGGCTGTACATTTATCTGTACATTGTTTAAGCCCGTCTATGATTGTGAGATTTTTGTTTTTCTAGGGCAGCATTCATTGGGCATGTACTGTGTTTCCTTAATAGTGTCTTGCATCTGCCCTGTGGCTACTTGCCATTTCCTCGTGAGCCTGAAAATGTAGCAGCAGGGACAAAGAACTTCTTTTCACCTCATAATTGTCGTTCTGCATTAACCTGCTTTCTCCCACTCACAGAAGCGCCACAGTCCCCAGCTAGTTGGGAAGAGGCAGAGCCCAGTATTTGTCTTTCTTGTGACTAGTTTTTATTTATAAGCATAGCATCCTCAAGGTTCATCTAGAATTTCCTTCCTATTTAAGGCTGAGTAATTCATTTAATATAAATACTATTGCTGTGAATGTAGATGTATAGATATCTTTTTGAGTCTTGCTTTTAGTTCTTTTGGATATAGACCTGGAGTACAATTGCTGGATTGTATGGTAACTCTTTATTTTAATTTTTTAAGGAACTGCCATACTATTGTCTACAGTGACAGTACCATTCTGTATTCCCATTAACAGGGAACAAATGTTCCAATTTCTCCACATCCTTGTTGACAATTGTTATTTTCCAATTTTTTGAAAAAGATTTATTATTTATTTGAAAGGCAGAGTTACAGAGAGGCAGAGAGAGAGAGAGAGGTCTTCCATCCACTGGTTTACTCCTCAAATGGCCATGATGGCTGGAGCTGGGCTGATCCAAAGCCAGAAGCCAGGAGCTGCTTCCAGGTCTCCTATGTGGGTACAGGGGCCCAAGGAGTTGGGCCATCTTCCACTGCTTTCCCAGGCCATAGCAGAGAGCCAGATCAGAAATGGAGCAGCCGGGACCCGAACTGGTGCCCTTATGGGATGCTGGCACTGCAGGTGGCTGCCTTAACCACTAGGCCATAGCGCCGGCCCCTCCTTTTTTTTTTTGACAGGCAGAGCGGACAGTGAAAGAGAGAGACAGAGAGAAAGGTCTTCCCTTTACCCTTGGTTCACCCTCCAGTGGCCGCTGCGGCCAGCGCACCACGCTGATCCGAAGCCAGGAGCCAGGTGCTTCTCCTAGTCTCCCATGGGGTGCAGGGCCCAAGGACCTGGGCCATCCTTCACTGCCCTCCCAGGCCACAGCAGAGAGCTGGACTGGAAGAGGAGCAACCGGGACAGAATCCGGCGCCCTGACCGGGACTAGAACCCAGGGTGCTAGCACCACATGCGGAGGATTAGCCTAGTGAGCCACGATGCCGACTACCTACAATATTTTTTTAAAATAGCCCTTTTTTTTTTTTTTTAAAGATTTATTTATTTATTTGAAAGTCACATAGAGAGAAGAGAGGCAGAGAGAGAGAGTGGTCTTCTATTTGATGGTTCACTCCCCAATTGGCTGCAACAGCCGGAGCTGCGCCGATCCAAAGCCAGGAGCCAGGAGCTTCTTTCGGGTCTCCCACATGCGGGTGCAGGAGCCTGAGGACTTGGGCCATCTTCTACTGCTTTCCCAGTCCATAGCAGAGAGCTGATGGGAAGCGGAGCAGCTGGGACTAGAACCGGCGCCCATATGGGATGTCGGTGCTTCAGGCCAGGGTGTTAACCCGCTGTGCCATAGCGCTGGCCCCTATAATAGCCATTCTAATAGGTGTGAGATAGTATCTCACTGTAGTTTTTATTTCAAAGACTTTAGGATTTTTAGTGGTCATCCCAGTGCCTGTTTTAGCTACTGTCTGAAAATTTAGGGTAGAGGTGTAAACTTTCTTTGCCCTCTAATTGCTAAATTTTAGAAATGTTACTTTTGCTCTACCGTAGAATTAGAGATACTGGGATTCTCCTGTAAATGAGTTCCTTTAACTCTTAGGGGCTTGAACTACCAAAAGGACAGTTTTCCAAGTTACTGCCTTCTCTTATGACTTGGATTGTTCATTCCTTCCCCTTCCCCTCCCTCTGCACTGTTTCTTTTCTTTTCCTCATTTTCACTTAGTTTCTATTTCTTTTCTTTTTCTTTTTTGTTTTCTACTTTTACACAGCATCCCCCCCCCCCCTTTTATTTTTTGACAGGCAGAGTTAGAGAGAGAGAGACAAAGAGAAAGGTCTTCCCTCTGTTGGTTCACCCCCCAAATGGCCTCTGTGGCCAGTGCGCTGCGCCAATCCGAAGCCAGGAGCCAGGTGCTTCCTCCCGGTCTGCCATGCAGGTGCAGGGCCCAAGGACTTGGGCTATCCTCCACTGCCCTCCCGGGCCACAGTAGAGAGCTGGACTGGAAGAGGAGCAACCGGGACAGAATCCGGCACCCCAACTGGGACTAGAACCTGGGGTGCCGGCGCCGCAGGCGGAGGATTCGCCAAGTGAGCCACGGCGCCGGCCACACAGCATCCCTTACATGCAGTCCTATCCCTAGGCTTTCTACGCTGTGACTTGAACAGCAAGTCTTTGCTGTCTTTGCTTGGTTTTCCCTACAGAAATCTTAGCTCTTAGTTTGCTTTCCAACCTGGAATAGAAGGCAACAAAGTTAACCTGTGGAGGAATGTAAGTAGGCTTCCAAAAATCTTGGGAACAAAGTAAAACCTGAGCTAAGCCAAAAATCAGAACTATCTAGCTGGGATAAACATAAGCTTTGTAAGAGAAGCAATTCAAAACAGTTGAAGAAAGTGAGGCAGGGGCTGGCAATATGGCAGTAGGTTAAGCCTCTGCCTGCAGAGTCCTGGCTGCTCCACTTCCCATCCAGCTCCCTGCTAATGACCTGGGAAAGCAGTGGCAGATGGCCCAAGTGCTTGGGCACCCGCACCCGCATAGGAGATCTGGAAGAAGCTCCTGGTTCCTGGCTTCGGATCTGCCCAGCTCTGGCCATTGCAGCCATTTGGAGAGTGAACCAGCAGATGGAAGACCTTTCCGTCTCTCTCTCTCTCTCTGTAATTCTGCCTCTCAAATAAATAAATAAATAAATATTTTAAAAAAGAAAGAGAGAGAGAGAGAGGCAACCTGCCTAAGAAGACAGTTTGTCAATGTTTGCCGAGGGATATCAGTGTCTCTCTAAAGGAGAAAGCTGAAAAAATAAAAATAGAGAAAGCTGTATACGTACGCTGTGCCATGGTTTAAAAGCAGTAACCCTTTGAGCTCATTTGTTTCTCTTCCCTTGTGCCCACAAAAGAGCTACCTAAACATTCCTTCTGTTTCCAGTAAGATTTTAGGTAAGATAAGGACATTCCCTTTGAAAGTTCTGGGTTCTTACATGCAAAAATCCATCCTGTGTGCTTATAGGATAGTGAAGCTGGATACCATATTTGCTAAAATACTTTTTTTTTTCAACTGAAAGACATACATTTTATTTAGTTTTATCCTTCTGGTATCATTTTTCTACTTTTTGCTTTATCTAACTCCACAACTTTACTGATTTTTTTTGGTTCTCACTTTTTATTTCAGCTGCTCAAATCTCTTTCTCTGACTTATCAAGAGATTATTGATTCATTCATTCTCCCAAGTCCTGGGTGAGTGAGCTCCATTCTTATAATTGGCACTGATAATATAAACATTCTTAGATTTCATATTTTCTCCCTAATAGTGTTTCATTTTTGTTGATGAATCAATCTGTCTGAACTCATTCTGTTAGGAAATGTTTATTAAGAGTCAATTAATAATGAAATAATTACTATTTGTTAAGCACCAGTTGTGGATCAGATATAGTTATTGTTTTAACTTTTTATTACAGAAATTTAAACTTGTACAAAAGTAAATAGAGTACTGCCCATGCATCTGTCATCGAACTTTTTTTTTAAGATTTATTTATTTATTTATTTGAAAGGCAGAATTGCATAGAGGCAGAGAGAGAAAGAGAGAGATCTTCCATTTGCTAACTCACTCTCCAGATGGCCACAACTGCCAGGGCTGGGCCAGTCCGAAACCAGGAGCTTCATCTAGGTCTCCTGCATGGGTGGCATGGGCCTAAATACTTGGGCCATCTTCTGCTTTTTCAGGCCTTTAGGAAGGAGTTGGATCAGAAGTGGAGCAGCCAGGACTTGAACTGGCACCCATATGGGATGCCAGCATGACAGGCAGCGGCTTTATCTGCTGGGGGGCAGCACTGGCCCCAGTGTTACCCAACTTTAACATTTAACAACCTGTGGAAAATCTTTCGTCTGTATCACCACCAAGTTTCTTCCGCCCATGTCCTTTTTTTTAGATATTTTATTAAAATACAGTATCTCTTATTTTCTTTTGATGTACATCCCACATGTATTACTTTATATATTTTTATGAACTCTACCCAGGTCTCCCACATGGGTGGCAGGGGCCGGAGTACCTGAGCCATCTTCACAGCTTTCCCTGGCAAATTAGCAGGGAGCTGGCTAGCGAAGCAAAGCAGAGAGCAGGAACTTAAACAGGAATTCATATGGTATGCCAGCTTTGCAGATGGCAGCTTAACCTGCTGTGCCTCAACACCAGCCCTAGATGAAGGGTCTTAAACTTAAGGCACCTTGGGGCTGGTGCTGTGCCACAGAGCTCCGGCCGTTGTGGCCATCTGGGGAGTGAACTAGCAGATGGAAAACCTCTCTCTGCCTCTGTCTCTGCCTCTCTGTAACTCTGCCTTTCAAGCAGAATGAATAAATTTTTAAGTTTTTTTTTTTTAAAGTATCTTAAAACTAAAATAGGGGCCAACATTGTGGCACAGCAGATAAGCATTTGCTTGCAGCCCTGGCATCCCATGTGGGCACTGGTTCATGTCCTAGCTGCCCCACTTCCAGTCCAGCTCCCTGCTGGTGTTCCTGGGAAATGAGTAGAAGATGGCCCAAGTGCTTAAGCACCTGCATCCACGTTGGAGACCTGGAAGAATCTCCTGGTTCCTGGCTTTGGCCTGGCCCAGCCCTGGTCATTGGTGGCCATTTGGGGAGTGTGCCAGCAGATGGAAGACTTCTCTGTCTTTCTCTCTAACTCTGCCTTTCAAATAAATAAAATAAATCTTTTTTTTTTTTTAAAGAAAAGGCTATGGGCTGGTGCCATGGTGCAGTAACTCACTCACTCCCCAGATGACCACAACTGCCAGGCCTCTCAGTATAGCATTTAAAAGCCCCAGTTAAGGGCCAGCACCATGGCTCACTTGGTTAATCCTCTGCCTGCGGTGCCAGCATCCCATATGGGCACCGGGTTCTAGTCCCGGCTGCTCCTCTTCCAGTCCAGCTCTCTGCTGTGGCCCCGGGAAGGCAGTAGAGGATGGCCCAAGTGCTTGGGCCCTGCACCAGCACGGGAGACCGGGAGGAAGCACCTGGCTCCTGGCTTCGGATCAGTGCAGTGCGCCGGCCATAGCAGCCATATGGGGGGTGAACCAACGGAAGGAAGACCTTTCTCTCTGTCTCTTACTGTCTAACTCTGCCTGTCAAAAAAAAAAAAAAAAAAAAGTGTCAAAGTCTCAGTAAATGGATTAAGTAACTGAAAGATTGAAAGAAAATGTCTACTAGGTACAGCCAGATAGCACACGTCCTGGTGAAGATTGAATTTTCTTTGGAGAGTGCAGTAGTGAAGTGGTCTAGAACATGGTAAAGAGGAGTTGGGAGAACACTAAGTGCCCTCCAGAGGACCATCAAGGGAACATTGCTTGGATCTGCTTGTTGAAGAAAAGGAGTATTTCATGAATGTGACTTTCAAATTGAGTCTTGCAGGAAAAATAGGAAATTGTGATTGTGGGGATGTAAGGAGGGATAGACATTTCTTTTTTTTTTTTTCCCCAAAGATTATTTATTTATTTGACAGGTAGAGTTACAGACAGTGAGAGGGAGAGACAGAGAGAAAGGTCTTCCTTCCATTGGTTCACCCCCGCAAATGGCCGCTACAGCTGGAGCTATGCCGATCCGAAGCCAGGAGCCAGGTGCTTCCTGCTGGTCTCCCATGCGGGTGCAGGGCCCAAACACTTGGGCCATCCTCCACTGCCTTCCCGGGGCCACAGCAGAGAGCTGGATTGGAAGAGGAGCAGCCGGGACTAGAACCTGGTGCCCATATGGGATTCTGGTGCCGCAGGCGGAGGATTAGCCAAGTGAGCCACAGCGCTGGCCCATAGTGGGAATATGGTAGAATAATTCCTGAAAAAGAATAAAAATTTTGATAAATCTTGTACTTTTATTTATTTATTTATGTTTTTATGGGGCCGGCACTGTGCCATAGTAGGTAAAACCACCACCTGTACTGCTGGTATCCCATATGGGCACCAGTTCTAGTCTGGCTGCTCCACTTCCGATACTGCTTTCCCAGGTGCGTTAATAGGGAGCTGGATTGGAAGTGGAGCCGCTAAGACTAGAACCAGTACCCATTTGGGATGCCGACACTGCAGAAGGTGGCTTTACCACCATGCCACAGAGGGTATTTTTAAACACTCCAGATTTTATGATCTGAAGGCCTCAGTGTAAAACTTTTAATATACTCCCCAGAAATCAATTAAATAATTAATAGTATTTTTGATTTATGAGTGGCAGCCTGAATTATGTACACTTAAGGTTTTATTTGATCCTTTTTTGTTTAATGTTGAAATATTTGGGGGAGAATAGAAAGATGGAAAATGGGGGACTGAGAAGGAAAAAAGACCCCTGCTTTGCAGTCACAGCTGATTATTCACACAGGAACTGGCTCCAGCCTTTTGAGCAATTCTGAAAATAATTACATTTGCAAGATTTTTATAAACGAGTACATTTGAGAAATTTTTTACTTGAAGATAGTTTTTGTTCTTAGAGACTGCCCTAGAGAGTTGACTTACTATCTGATTCTAATTAATAATACGCAAATTTTATTTTTCTCAGAGTTACCTGGAACATTGGCTCTGAGGATCACAAGATCTTTATATTTACAATATGTGTCTCAATTTCTAACTCACACAGCAATCTTGAAAAATGGTTGTTACTATTCTGTTTTGCAGTTGAGAAACCTGATATTTAGAGAGCTTGAATAGCCTGCCCAAATCCCACACCTGGTGACTTGCTGTGCCACAGTTAGACCCCAGCCCTGGGGTTTTGAGATACATGTGTTTATCCCAAATGCCCATGTTTTTTTCACTCTATTATATTGCCTCCAGAAGTAGCCCTTGTAATCTTATATCCATATAATAATACTTATAATATTCTTATAATTCTTACAATGGTAGTCTGTCTTGTTATTCCATCAGTAGCCCTTATATATACTCTGGATCTTTGGTTTAGGACAGATTTGTGTTCACGTCAGCAGCACATATACTAAAATTGGTTTAGGACAAGTTTAATTGGTCTGGTGTTTCAAAATTACTTTTTCTCTTTTGAGTCGGAGTGATCCATGTATGTAGAATTTTCTGTGTAGGTTAGATAGTTGTATGTATATAACTCTTTAAAGGTATACAATTCACTGCCTCTTGGTATGCATAGAAGAATTCATCAAATTTTTTTTTGTGTGTAAAAATGCGGATAGTCCCTGACTTACAGTGGTTTGATTTACATTTTTTCAACCTTGTAATAACACAAAAGTGACACACACACTCAGTAGAAACCATACTTTGATCTTTTCCTGGGCTAATAATATGTGATACAATCCTCTAATGATGCTGGAGAGCAGTAGTGAGCTTCAACTTAGCCATGTGATTATGTGGGTAAACACCCTATATTCTATAGTGTACTGTGTTACTAAGCTATGCTGTTTGTCAGGTTAAATGTATTAAATCCATTTTTTAACTATGATGTTTTCAACTTCTCATGGTTAATTGTTGGGATACAACAACATTGTGATTTGAGGAACATCTGTATTTAAAAACCAGCAAATCTAGGTCTGGCATTTGGCATAGCAGTTAATGTGCTGCTTAGAATGCCCACATCCTGTATTGTGCTGTGTTCAAGTCCTGGCTCTGCTTCCAATTCTAGTTTCCTGATAATGCTCACCCTGGGAGACAGCAGTGATGACTCAAGTACTTGGGCCCTTGCCACCCACATGAGAGACCCAGACTGAGTTTTGGGCTGCTGGCTTCAGCCTGGCCCAGCCCAGCTGTTGTAGGTATTTGGGAGTAAACCAGTGGATGGAAGATCTATCTGTCTCTGTTTCTCTGAGTTTCTCCTCAAACCTCTTTCTCTTTCTCTGTCTCTCTGCCTTTCTTTCTTTCTTTTTTTTTTTTTCTTTTTTCTTTTCTTTTTTTGACAGGCAGAGTGGGTAGTGAGAGAGAGAGAGACAGAGAGTAAGGTCTTCCTTTTGCTGTTGGTTCACCCTCCAATGGCCGCCATGGCTGGTGCGCTGCGGCTGGCGCACCGCGCTGATCCGAAGGCAGGAGCCAGGTGCTTCTCCTGGTCTCCCATGGGGTGGAGGGCCCAAGCACTTGGGCCATCCTCCACTGCCTTCCCAGGCTACAGCAGAGAGCTGGCCTGGAAGAGGGGCAACCGGGAAAGAATCTGGTGCCCCAACCGGGACTAGAACCCGGTGTGCCGGTGCCACTAGGTGGAGGATTAGCCTATTGAGCCACGGCGCCGGCCCCTCTCTGCCTTTCAAATAAATAATTTTTTAAAGAAACCTGACAAATCTCTTTTAACAGTTTCTACTATTCTCTTGCAATTGTGCAGCTGTTGCTTGTTGATGAT